CATTATTTAAAAAGAATAAATATTCATCAATAAAGGCTATCAATTTTTTGAGAACATATTTTATTACATACATGCATGAATTTTGAGGATTGACTGTGTTTTAAAAAGTATTGTGATTTATATCAAAATGTAAGAGACCACTTTTTTCTTTTTTGTTTTTTCAACAAAGGGATGTTAATTATTGATTTTAAATTTGTAAATTTTTGGTAAAATAACTTAAACTTGAATCAACACCTTTCTTGCAGTTTAAATCTTCATTGGATAACTGACACAAACTCCATCATAATTTCTCTCTTCAAATTTGATAATGCTATGTATAAATTAAAAAATTAAAAAATTAAAAATCTTTATCTTGTGTAAACTTGGAATTATGAGATATGTAATTCAATATTTAGTTAAATTAAAAAAAAAAATTCAGATTAAAAAAATAGGATGTTTTATAGGTTTTTATGGGATTATATGGGATTTTATAGGTTTAGAATTTTAAAATATAGTTATTGTATAAAAATTACTTAATTCATGAAGTGCATTATCTATTTATTTATATGTATTTACAAAATTTAAAATTATAACTGCAATAAAATTTTGTTAAATGCACAAGAATAAAATTAACAACAAAATATTGTATAAAAGAAGGCAATAAAAAAGGAAATATTGTATATATATATATATATATATATATGCATTAGATGTTTAATCAGAGGTATTTAGATAGCTGATTAAAACATTGACTTAAAAAAACCAAATTCGTAGTTTTATATACTTTTTCGATATATCTCTCAACTATGATGAGCCTAAAATAATAAAAGATGGTAGATTGAATTTGGATTGTTATTAAAAGTTATTGAACAAGATTGGTAGATGAGATCCCAGCTATAAAATCCCAACTATGACTGATAGAAATTTACTTAGGAATTTTCACCTTAATATGCCTAAAAAAAGAAAATAAAGAAAAAAAGAAAAAAAGAATGGTAAAATCTATTTTACAATCTTTTATAACCATCTTTTTGAAAAATTGGCACATGTCATTGCATTAAAAAACACTGACTAATTTAATTGATAGAAAAGAATTAACTTAACTTAAAAGATTGTGTATATATAATACATAATATAGAATATGATGTATAGATTCACCTTCGTTCTTTATTAGATATATTTTTTTTACTAAATATCTTTCTCGATACATGTACCCTAAATAATTTATTTTTATTTGACATGTGCATTATTTTTTCTTTGAGAATAAGAAATTATTTTATAATATATATGTTTAAGGCTTATTTTTATATAAATTTCTTTTTGGTTTAAAAGAGGTTTTAAGTACATATATTTTATAGACTATAATATATATGAATATTATTTTTTTCAAAATATATTAGATTTTAAGTGTATAAGTAATATTTATAATTATATTCAAATAATAAATAAATAATTTTTTTAAAATATTATTAATTTGATTGGATATCATAAAGTAAAGTTAAATTCACTATGTAATTATAAATTTTATATCATATCTTATAATACTATGTGATAAATAATAAAATAATATCTTATGTACTATAACCTGTAGTTTTTTATATTTTCAATATTTTATCTTTAGCATGTAATAAATCAATTAAAATAGATAACATAGATATATTAATACTTCATATTCTATTCTACTTTTCCATTTGATTTTAAATGGTATAAAACAAAATTTAGACTTTTTAAAATCATATTATTTTTATTAAATATAATATAATAAAATTCTAATAAAATCATAGTAAGTACATACTTAATAATTTATACTAGATGTTATGTTTTGAGATACGCAAACAATAACAAGTTGAATTCACTAAGTTATACTTAATAATTTTTTCAAAATTTGGTCTACATTGAATAATGTTTTTCTACGTATTTTTAGTATATATTTATAAAATTTAAATTAGATAATAAATTATTATTTTATTATGCCAAAAAGTTTCTAAACGAAATATTCATGTTGAAGATTTCTAAATTTTTCATATATCCACAAAAAAACTATGAATAGTATGAGATGTTTTTATTTTATTTTATTTCAAAGATGATAGATGTGACAAAAGATATTGATTTTTACTTTAAATTTAATAAAAAATAATTTATTTATCAATTATTTTATTTAAGTTATATTTAAATTAATTATATACATATACAAATTGAATACTATAAATAAAGTATCAAGTTTGGCACTTTTAAAATTTTAGTTAAATCAATATTAAAATTATTAAATCTAAAATTTGATTTAACTTAAAGATTAGTGATTTACAATCTTGACATTTTTAATGTATCTTTTAAAATAATTTTAAGAATTTCATCTTTTAAAGATTAACTTCAAAACTTATTTTATTAGTCTTATTACAACTAATAAAATTTTAAATCTAAGTATAAAATATCAAAATTATAAGTAAATAAATAAATTTATTTATAGAACATACAAAGAAAATTATGTAGTTTTTATATGTAAGTACTTCAAATCATTAATGTATTCAAATTAGAGTTAAGCATGTAAGTTTAAAAAAAGTATTATTTTGTAGATTTTTATTACCATTATTTATATATAAAAATTTACTTAATATTATTAATAGTATGATGGAATAGTTATAATATTGTAATAAATTTGAACTCTAGTTAAATTAACTAAATATATTATTTATTTATTTTAAAAAGGTTTCAATATAAATTTATTCACATCTTAGTTTTTAGAATTTTTAAAATCAAATTTACTCGGATATTTATAATTCAAACTTAAAATTATTCAATTTGTGATATTTTTTAAAATTTAAAAATAATAGAATAAAAAAATAAATAATATTTAAATATAAATAAAGAATAATAAAAACAATATATATTTTTATTTATTGATTTAAAATTATTTAAAATTATTTAAACAAATAAATCTCTATGTTATTTTATCTTCTATCATATATTAAAATTAAAATAAATTCATAATTAATGTTCTTAGATCCTTGATTACAATTTTAAAATACTTATTTTTTTGTAACTGATAAAGCCTGCTCAAATTTTGTGAGTATAATAATTTGTTTTCTTGATTTCTAATTATTATTTCTTTTAAATTCCAATAATTGAATAATAATATTTTTTTATCTTCCTATTTTAATCTATTGTTTTCATTAATACTTTTCCATCATGTTACTTTTTTATATTGTCTTTTATAGTAAAGAACTTTCCAACTTTGTAACTTTTTGAATTCTAAAGTCGAATTCATTTTTCATTTTTCTTTGTCAATTTTTACAATATACATACATAATATAATTAAAATTTTACTTATTAATTCTTATATTATCTTATATTATAATTAAATATGATTATTACATGTTAATGGTGTATAATCTAAAAATTAACATATTTACAAATAAATATCTAGTGTTTATAAATATATATTGATTTATTTATGTAGAATAAGTATTAATATTTTTTAAGCTTATTTTGTTGAAAGACTCTAGGATTTTAATAAAATATTATATATATATATATATATATATATATATTGAAACAAAAAAATTTAACATCACAATCAAAATCAAATACACTTTAATTAATCAAAATTGGTTATTTTTTAAGCTTAAAATGTGTCTATTAAATTATTATAAATAAAAAAATTGTAGATTTTCTTGTGACCTAACTTCAAAAAATATTTTCACCAATGACATGCCAACATCTAATACTTTCTAGGGTCCTCCAAATCATTCTTTTTGTATACAAAAACACATGTACTTGCTATAATGTTGTGAAGTTCAATAAAGTTGGTTGTCTTGAAAGCAAGGTATGGTTGAATGAGAAAAAGATAGAATTGTGATTTAGAAGTAGAATGCTAGGTGGCATTGACAATTTTTTTGGCAACTTCATTGAAATTGCATCAGCAACTTCTTCATTGACAATATGGTAGTTAAGAGCATTGATACCAAAAAGATATGACTTGTTAACTCATCATTGCTGAGGATTCGAAATGACTTTTAGCATACCACATACAAAGCTTCTTGTTTAATATCTCTTACATATGTATAAATAGAAACATGTTGATTCCAAAAAATAAGATTGCAAATTTTAAAATATTCTAGAATTTTACTTGTTAACATTGATATACAAAAAGATAAACATATTCAAGTTTTATATTATTGTTATTATTATTATAATTTTTGTATAGCAACAATTAACCCTCTACACTAATCCATTAAACATGATTATAATTCCACAACTACAATTTAAACTGCCATCCTCTTGGATACTTTTTTTACATACTTTTATACAATTTCCATTTTTTTGATAGTTTAAGATGATTCTAAATTGAAAGCCATAGCTGTGAATTGTACAACATTGCACCAGAAAAATCGAAATATGAGTCCATCCAGCACCAGAGTCAGTCAGATCACAACAATCTCACGCTCTGCTACACACACACACACACAGAGACACATAGTGACGCCTCCGAACGAAGAAATGGAACAGCCAAAAACACGATGTTGGTTGCACAATCACACAACATCTTCACACCAAGAACCAACTAGATAGCACGAACACAAGACTGTCGAGACCAAACCTCGCCGAACTACCACAACCAGAACTGGGTCTGGACTACAACTTGTGAAGAAGCTGAGACATCAACAACATCAGATGTCGCCGAATTAGCACAAACCGAAATGTGTCAAGACATCAGATCGGCGAACTAGGACACAGTAACAGTGTGGGAACTGTAGCACGGAGAAGGAGCACAGGATGAGATGAGGATGAGTGAGGGAGAGAGAGAGAGAGAGAGAGAGTGTAGATGGGAGCAACAACTGGAAGAGGGTTTACACACACGGCACTGTTCAGATCATAGATGCTGGACCAGGGAAAAACAAAGTGGGGACTGTAGACTGTAGACTGTAGAGGAGACGAGATAGCTAGCTAGCTCAGGAGATAAGGGAGCGGGACCCGCAAGCGGGAGCCTGGGCAGCGGGCGTTTATCTCTCCCATGCCCCCACCACGGCTAGATTTGTGTGCTCCGAGGCCGTGGACCGATTGGCTTCATTTGGAGCCGCGGAGCTTGGAGTCTGGGTCATTCCTGAAGCTTACGCTGCACATCATTGATGAGGAGGAGAAAGCGGGGTTCAGTGAGCAGGTTACTGGGTCGGATCAGCTTTTGGTGCAAGTGTAGCGCGCCTCTGGAGGTGGCAGATTGCCACTGCCGTACTTTCCAAACTTGTGGATCGGAAGGTTATTTGTGCCAATTGTGCTTGAGGCTTCCGAGCGCTGAATGGCTCTCGTTTCGTGCCACTTGTGTTCGCGTTTTTTTTTTTTTTTTTTTTTTTTTTTTTTTTTGTGTCGTGGGTAGTTTTTGAGGACATATTCCTGAATGCGAGGTAGGTGTTGCTAGTTTTTGAGTTCACGGGTGAGTGAGTAAGTTGGATAGGGAGGTTGTCTGCCTTGGGTGACAAGTGGTGACAGGGTTTGCTTTTCATGCTCCCTCTGCACAGCTTCTGCCGTCGAGGCTGAGCGTTTGTGAAGAGACTGTTCCCGTTTTGAAGGATGCAGTTCCTGTGTCGAGATTGCTGGCGTTGTTTCCAAGGTTAGTGTTCTCATTCTGATGGCTTCTTGTCATGTAGCTTGTCATGAATTCAATGTTACAATTGACAATGAGTCTGATAGATGACTTTTCTACGCAGGATTGGTCGAGCTGTGGGGTTCGCAACCTATTAGTCGTTGGTTCGATCCTTTTCTGTCTGTCCTGGTTCTCGAGTCATTCTTCGAGGGAGTTCTCTCAGTTTCTGCGTGTACGCGTTGCTTCTACCTTGACCTTCTCGTATTTTTTTTTTTCGTAATCTTCTCTCATCCAAGCATAGTGTTCCTACTCTTCGTCGTAGACGAGAGTGCTTCACTTACTCAGGCCACAGTGCAGACGCTAGATCGGGATTTATGAACATTCTCTTGTGGAGTGAGCTAAAGCGTTTCGACGCTTAGGGGGTGGAAATTTAGGCAGTCAATCTACTTCCGATCTGGAGTTTGTCCTTTTACCGTGTGATGCGTTGCAATTCTATAGAACCTGATCTTTCAGTCCACGTCGCAGGTCTAGACCTACGCACGTTTCGGTGCGTTGAACCAAGACCCCCCGATGTATTTCACTCGCTCTTAAGTATGATACCTGTTATTGCATACTTGAGTGCCAAACCCTGGGAAATTGGAGATGGTAAGAGTATTGTGTAGCCCTAGCGCTGACCTAGAGATTTAGTGTCGTCGTATTTCACTTTCCGGGATCTATTACGGCTGTCGCTTATTGCAGGTTAGACGCTGTATTTCTTGACTACCTTAGTGTTTTGGCTCAACGGTTCAAATCACTACATTTTGAAACTTCATGTGGCTATACAGTGTCATGAGCCCTTTCTGAAGGTGTTCAGTGCATCTAACAGCCAATGGTGGATGGTGTTGCAAGTTGCAGGTCACAGAGCTTAGTGACTTGTGCTCGTTTCGAACTGAAAGAGAAGTCATGGCTCTGCGTGCTCAAACATCGGGAGATCTTGTTCTATCATGGTCGTGAGAGTGGAGCCTTCCAGTTTGGCCGTCTACTGTATTCCGCTACAGCTGGTACTTCTATTCTACTGCGGGTGGCTTCAGGATTTGGCTGAAGTTTCAGGGGTAGACTAAGCAAGCTCAAACTCTGTTTGAGTGCCTCTTGTGTGCACCCGTCATCAGCTTCGTCTTGCAATTATAACACGGAAATCAACTACTCGCGTTCTTTCTAGCTCATCAAAAACCTGCATTTCTCGATACTCGAGGTCGGCGTTCAGTAGTCAACATGCCTGAGATACTGCCGTCGGGGAATACCAAGATAATCAATTCGCTTCGATGTTTTGAGTGTGCTCGGAGTGGTAGCACCGACTGTATCGATCATGGAGGGAATCCGTCAGAGGATAGCTTTACGAGTGTGCTTGGTAAACGCCAGGTTTTCCTGTGTTCCACTACAGACTTCCAGGGCTTTTGTAAGGACGGCGGAAAGAATCCCTTTACACATTCTACTAAACGTCTAGTAGCAGCATCTTCTGCATTGAGCCGTACTGAGTTATCGTCTACCTCTCCAAAGGTGGTTATCCCGACGCCAACTAGGCCGTCTGTCTCTCTACCTCCTGTTGCACCCGTTGCACCCGTTGCATCCGTTGCACCGGAAACGCCCACGGTCAGCTCTCAAGGTGCATCTACTCCAAGTGGGTCCGACACACCCAGCGATCATGGGCGGTATACTTCCACTCTTTCGACTCATGTGTTTTATTCTTGTCCTTTGACGTTGCACATGTAGTATGTCGAAAGACGGATCAGGTCTTAAGCATACATGGATGCCGAGGATGTATTAGGACGAAGGCATCATGCTTCGTTATGCGGTGACTAAATGAGATATTCGCTACAGATATTTGGATAGATTGTGAGCCTTGCATTGAGCCAAGTTTCGCTGACTTGAATCAAACATGTACGTGCAGGGAGCAAGTGGTTGATAGAACTGATCAAGATATCGACGATTCTAGTTGCAAGGAAGGTGGAGTAAGATATCGAGAGAGTGTGGGGAAGTATGTGGTGGAGTACAGGCCGACGCGTTTCAAATGGAAGCTTTGGATGGGTACATACTCCACTGTAGATGAAGGTCGCCGAGCATGCGACTGCGCAAGGTTTTATGCCGGCCAAGACAAGGGTGGGTTCTATTTCAAAGATTCTCCGGCGTTGTTTGGGGAGCTGGGGCCTCTTAATCGCCCTTTCACTTTGGTCAGCAAGGAAACCAAAGACAGAGCCTTCAATGCAGAGTTGAAAAATCGTGCCAAGATTGTGATCAGGAAAGTTTTCGATGCGCAGCGGGGCAAGAAAGTAGTGGACGTGTCTCGCCCATCGCCCTCAGCGTCACCGTTGTTGGCAAACATTGAGCGACGAATTCTTGCTCCTAATGCTACAAGGATCCGTGACCCCATAACTGGCCCTGCGCAAGAACATTTTTCACTCCTAGCTCGGCTTGCCACCTCTAGCCAAGAGAACGTCATCAAAACCGGTGCTACACAGGAACAGCTTGGAGTCCTTGATGAGCTCCTCACATTTCACCAGGACAGCCTCCTTAAAACTGATTTTGGAGAGGAACAGCCCTCAACCCCTAATCAGCAGAACCCTGCATTATCTGCTCGCGCGCATGAAGATAATGAAACTGGCCAGTCTTCCCAGGAGGCTGCGGATGCATCGGATGATGATGCCGGCACTTATGCAAGTCTAGATCCTTTGGATGCAAGTCTAGATCTCAGAGACCTTGACACAGAATATCCCTCCCCTTTCAATATTGCGTTCAACTACTCCACATCGACGGATCCTCTGAGCTTCATGAATTCATACGCCGATGAAGTAGACCCTGTTTATGTGTCATTATGGACTCACGAAAACTAGGTTCTCGTTTTTTTTCCGTTACTTCATTATCATCTCTACGGTTGTCTGAGACAGCTTGCAAAGGCATCTCCAGGTCGAGATTTCGAGTATTTATCCATGTTGCGAAGGACCGCGCCACTTCCACCTCGTGTAAGAACGGTATTGCTGGGTAGAGAATATCGACGAGTCACCTAAGTTTCGGTCTGCGATGATAACCTTCACCCACCCCGGAATCAGAATGTAGGATCTAGTTGAGGTACATATTGTTTATACGCGGCTACCACTTTGGAGCGAGATTATTTTGTGCAGTTGTGGCGACCCTTGATTCGCCTTCTTGTCTTATAGGAAAGCTTTCTTGTACGAAGAGTTAAACTTTGTAAAGATCTTTGCAATAACGGGTTGGAGTTCAAGGTGATCTATTGGACTCATGCGCAAGTCTACTTTATGCCGTTCATTTGGTTCGTGTTGCTGAAGTGGCTCTCTGAATGCTATTCCATAGCCAGATATCGTCAGCTTATCTCGACAACCGTGTTGCACCACAGTTTCATTAGTGCAGGAGCCAGATGGAATGGCTTTGTCTTTTTAGTATCAGCCAGTTCTTCCCCATGCCAGTACCAATTTGCAAGATGTTCCAGCTTTACGGATATGTGGTGTGAATTTCTCTCCCCACTTTAAGACTTTTACACCACGCGCTTGGAAAGCGCCGACATGCAGTGCCACGTCAGTGAAAGTCTCGGTCAGAGCGACAGGAAATTTTAATACTCAAGGGGGTGGTCTGACCATGGATTGTATAGTTTGATTCTCGAAGGTCCAAGGTCGAGGGCCAGCTGGAATGCAAAATCCTGTGATTTCAAAGTAAAGAAGAAGCAGAACAGGAGGAATAGTGCCTCTTGAGATGTGGGGTAGCCAGGCAGTTGCGATAAGGCGTTGAAAAAGTCACGGTTTTGTTTTCGATGTGTCCGAATAAAGCATTTGTTTAAGTGCGTCCTCCTCCTCACAGGGCTCACCACAGTAACGTGTTGCTATCTTAAAGTAAAGAGCTGGAAGACAGTAAGTCGCCGGAGGCTGCCAGCCGACCCACCATGGCATAAGCGTGATGGAGGTTATGCCGGAATTATTCAGGACTGGAAACCCAGGTGAATCATGTTACCTTGCATTTTGGCTGTTTTTTGGTATATGGTACATCATGGCTATTCCTACCTTATTAAGAATGAATCCAACTATGTTTTTTTGTGTATTTTATCAGGTTTTCAATTTGTACAAGAATGATTACTCTACGTGTAAAGATGATATAATCGTTGTGGCTGTTGGACTTTAGAGACAAGAAGAGCCTCAGAAACATTCATTTTGAGTGCTGTGTACAAAAAAGTATCTCTTAGAGGGATTTTAATGGAGACGATTAACATGGGGTGAATGTTGATGTTTACGTGATTTGAAGTTGTGTCGTTACTCACAAAATATGATTTCAGGCTTTACGGGTAAAAATGATCAGAAGGACAGCAAGTGTAAAATATCAATTTGTCACAACTAATTAACACCAAATAAATCTTTGAACTGATTTATGTTTGTCGTTCGTTGTTTCATTCGCACCCATATTAGACTTGACCAACAATTGTGTAAGTTCAATCTTCATAAATACAATCGAACTAAAATCTAAAACAAAAAGAAAGTTTCTGAATCTTTCGTCAAAATAGAGTAGGCAAAAGGCCGTGCAAACCAATTCCACGAGGACTGACGGAATCACATCTTCCATGCAGGGAACTCAAAGTGCGAATTTTATGTTGTGATTCTATTTGACAAGAAAATCATTCCATCATTCCAGTCTCCATGTGAGGATGAGCTTGCACGCTAAGCCACACGGGCTGCCGTCGAGTTTGACGATGCTTGGGTGATAGAATTGTGTGCGGTGATGCAGCAACAGGCGAAACGCCATCACTGTCTCTTGCTTGTCATTGCTTGCGTACCACCATATCAATGGACATAACTAGTGATGCTGATAGACCAGCTCTTTGAAGTACATCGAAGGATGCTTCCCGTTATTTTAAATTTTTATTTACGATTTTTCAGTGCTAAATTAGCTACCTCCAGTGTTTGTGAGTTCCACACCACGAATTTCTCGGCTCCAAGTAAATCACGTAGGAATCGAGACATTGGAAAGAACTATCCACGTCAGCTTCCAAGCTAAGGCTCTGAAATCTGAGACCTGGCCTGTTGCAGTCAGTCACCGAGTCATTCTAGTTGCAGCAGTGGTGGTATGGAACAGTCGTCGATCATCATGCAATTTGGATGCGAGAGCATATTGGTGCACCTTACGATGAAGAGACTGTTGTGTGGAGTGTATCATGTCATCAGATTGGAGTAATGCGATGGTCGAGCTTCATCGATCTGCTGGGACAGCTTTTGGGGGTATTGAGTATGCAGATGTGTCTCACGGCGTGGACATTTCCGTCATACGTTGTGCGTGACATATCCAATCTGGTGTCCCCTGGACGATGCCCATGGCGTGTGCTTGTTGTTGAATTGTAAAACGTAGCGAAAGCTTGCAGTGTTGCATCTCATAGCTGAACCAGCGGGTTCGAAGGCCACTTTATGGGGGGTGTACGAATGTGTGATGGAGTGTGTGCACACTTCGATTTCTCCGATATAGGATATGCGGCATTGACTCACCACTCCCCAGTTCTGTTGAGGTTCCTGGCAAGCTGCTTCAAATGGCAGTTTGAGGCTGGTGGAGGAGCATCATGATATGACCGCCCCTAAAACCTGCACAAAGGCACGATGCTTGTCCATCTGGGGAAGTGGGCGCGGGGTCCTCCAGGATCTCACATACGTCCACGAATTCTAACTGCTGGCAACTTCGAAGCAGTTCTACTGTCAGAACCAGAAAAATGTAAAACCTGATTTATTTCTACCGTATGTTAGATTATGCCGCCTGAGTACTCAAAAAGTTTCACCAGACTACGCAATCTGTGTTGAGGTAAGGGAGGTAGTTAATCTGGGAGAGACCGATTCCCAGGATGGAGGCGTCACTTCCATGATTTGTGAACAGAAGCAAACCTTCTTTCTCGATTTAGGGCGAGGGTGGCGCCGTGGAGGCAGCAAATCTGCGAATCGTGGACCTAGAATCTGTTCCATATTTAGAAGAGAATTGCACTTAGATACTGCCCTATGTCTGCACCAATTTTCATTAGCAAGGAGTTTCTGCACACACTCACTCCTCGAAGCAAGAGCCCACCCCTTGTCAGTCTGCGCCTTCATAGCTCTCTGCCCTTCGGTTGGTGTGTAGGACAGGAAGGATTAGAGATTGGTTGGGTCCACTCTATGTGCAGGACATTGACAAAGAAAAAACCGTTTGAAATGGAAGAATCCATATAATATAGCAGAGGATGCAAGAAGTGGTGGCATTACGGCACATTACACCGTATACCTTCTCATCAATCATGGTGTTAGAATCTTCCAAAACATAACATCACTTACAATCGTCTTTTATAGTTACCTTCCTGTAAGATATTACGATTAATGTTGAATACAAGCGGCGCATGAATTCACATAACCTCGAAGAATATGTATTATAATGATCGCTGTGACTCATAGACCCATTCAAAGAGCTTACTACTCAGATGACTTTTTTTGGCATCGACACAGACCCAAGGTATTTTCACTCTGACCTACCACAAAGCTGAAGACAATGATTCTGAAAGACTGTGCAAAGAATTCCATGTCTCAGATGATAACGTGGGAGAAACTTCTTTGAGACTTGCTTGGAAGAAACGGGAGTCTGATGGTCCTCAATGTAGGGCATTCACAACTCCAGTAAAGTTTGTGAGGATGAGAAGTCCTTGTACATGTGTAAAATTCAGCAAATAATTACATACATACATACATACATACATATATACATGTAGAGAGAGCGAGAGAAAGGGAGACACTTAAAAACAATAATAAAAATAATAAAAAGTAGAAAAGAGTGAAATCTACTAAACAAGCTGAAGAAAAAAAGTCTGGTGAAGGCAATGGGTGGTAGTCTAGAGCAATTGCTATTAAATTGTGGTGGTGGAAGAAGTGGTGCATCAAACTGTACATTTTCTTGTCATCCAACAATTGAGAATCTTAATGAAACAGAATTATAAATGGGTTTCGGCATGAGTTGATTTCGTTTCAGTTGTCATAAAACTGTCGCGAAATAAGCAGGTAAGAATTGTGGTCCACCTACTCAAAGTACCGCAAGGTTACAAGCTCATTTTGTGATGAAATTTAAAGAAATTGTTTTACGGAGAATCTGTTAAAGATCTTTGCGATCTTTAATGCTGTGTGGGCGGCACCAAAACCTCTTGATTGAGTAATTTCCAGTTACTTTCTGAAGCAGACTTTCACTAATTTATAATATTGTGTTTGTTTAACTCACGACTTTTCTCTTTTTTCTTCCCTTTATTATACAAAATAAGATATAAACCCACCTGTCATAGATGAATACAAGAAATTACAGTAAATCCATGTGAATAATATTTTTCCCTTGGCATAGAATAGAGCATTCACATTCAAGTCAATTATCAAGGTCTGTTGACCCCTCGCCTCCAATACTGCAGTGATGGAGGTAAAACCTTACTTTGTATTCGATGAATTCAGTCATAAGAATGTTGGATTATGAAAAGCTCAGTAGGTCACTCATAACAGAATCCTGCACTCTTGACAAGTGCTTAAAGTATGCCCAACACCCAGATATATACAAACATATTGGAACTTAGTAAAGAGGTTTAGGGTTAATGTAAGTTCAGTTGTAAGTAATGAAGCTTCTTATTATTGAACTATGTTTTTATATTTTGGTTTATATTATCAAGGAAGATGCATCCAAAAGGGTTGCGCCCTCTTGACAAGGTGCAATTCTTTATTATTGACTCAATCTGATTATGTAACTATTTTAATATTCTAATATGCCCTTGTAAGCAGATTGGGGTCCAAATTTGGTTCTTCTCCAAGTATGCCAATCAATGGAAGATAAGGAACAAGTTTTGGACTTGATAGAGATTATGTAAATACATTGGCATGTATTTTGAGTGGAAGGGTATTATTTGAATTAAAATTTTTGTTGGATTGCAAGTTGCCTAATAAAGTAACATCAAATTGAAATGTATTTTGTATAGGAGTAGAAGCTTGTTGTATCTATCAAGTGAATGATGGTTGTAGATTTTAGGGTTGCATCTTGATGGAGGTTGTGTAGATGGTGACATAGTCATATAGCCTTATAAGTAGCAGTGGCCATTGCTATATACTTTGCAACCATATTAGAAAGGTTAGTAGACTATTGCTTCATTAAATACTAATTGATGGTTCTACAAAAAGAATAAAAATAATTTTTTAAGTAAAACATTGCTTGTCCACCATGCGAGTATTGTATTATGTGTGTTCTTGCTTGAAAATGCATCAAGTACCTAACTATGGAAGATAAGTAAAAATA